TTCAGTGCATGGGACGGACATTAGCCGAGCCGAGCGACAGAAAGATAGAGATGGCAGATTAAAAAAAACTAAAGAGGAAAACGTCTGCGGACCGATAAGGCAAGAAGTAGGACCCGTGTAAATATCGGATCAGCTTTCCAGCGCTGGAGAGAACTCAAGGATCGGAGGCCTGCGATCGGACGCCGAGGTTGCTTTGTTTCTTCTTGATAGGTGAGTAACACCGTGTCTACAACCGCTAAAGTCTGCCTACACTGGACGCGATCAAACGACCGTTGAAAACCATTTGAAATGTGTGTCAGCACGTCATAAATAGAACCCGGCAGCAGTTTTCTGTCTGGGATTTGTTGTGCCGCACCGCTCACGTCCGTAGACACAGTGTAACATTAGTTTCACAGAACTAATCGTTGCCTGGGTTGCGTACGTATATGTGGGGCGGAGCTATCAAAATAGGGGCAAGACCCTTTTGGGGTAGGGGCGTGTTTGTTTTGGTGATTTCAAATATCAACATTGGCTACCAGAAATCGCTTACCCTGCCTTTAATGCTATAGAACTACAACCACTAGATGGCGCCAAAGCATTTTTAGATTACATGCAGACTCTCCTTTGTACTCAAGTCAATTAGCTTAATGAAGTCATTGTTGTCTTCAGCTTCCTGAGTGTGTTCAATTATAGATGGTTAAAAGGGGTCAGATCATTTCCAGGCTCTTTTGAAATAAAACTTTCAGTGTAAATCCTCTATAAAGTCCATTAATTGTAACTAAGCTGCAAAAAGAGAAAGAGAGAGAAAAATGATTCATTTAGAAAGCGAATCCCTTCTGAATAGTGCTTAACATTATAAGTGGAGTTTAACATTTAAATAAAATGCCACAAATGTCTAAAATACAGTGCCTTCAGTGAAGAGAGAAGAAAAGCAGATGAGAAATAGCAAAAAGAAGAGAAACTGACAGCAAGTTACAAAACTAGATTGTGTGCCTGTATGTATGGAGCTTCAGATCATCTGTCAGCCTGTCGTGAACTATTTATGACACAGTCAGAGTGAAAGAGAATATATAGATGTGTGTTCATCTCTCTTTACTTTGTACTTTCTTTTCATCTCTTATTCTGTACGTTTTAAACCTCTCTCTCTGTATCTGTAGATGGCTGGTTACTCGTTGTCCGTCAGAGCTCTTGACAGCGGGACGCCTGCGATGTCCTCAACCGTTCAGGTCAACATCGACATCTCTGACGTCAACGACAACCCGCCCACCTTCACTCCAGCCAATCACACTGCAGTTATACAGGTGAGATTAAGAGTGGCAGGTAAATCAGCCAATCACGTCCAAGTCATTTCGGCAGTTTAATGTGAGCTTTACTCATCAACAGGAGAACAAGCCTTTGGGAACAAGTGTCCTACAGCTGTCCGTCATCGATAAGGACGCCAGTCACAACGGCCTGCCTTTTCATTTCCGAATTCTATCAGGAAATGAGGGGGCGTGGTTTAAACTGGATAGAGAGGGGCTGTTGACATCCAATCAGGTGTTTCGTAGGTCAGAAGGCACAGAGTATGTCATTCATGTACAGGTAAAGAGAAATTCTTGGCAAAAATTAGTAAAAAGTATGTTTGAAAGTCTCTTATGCTCATCAAGGCTGCTTGATTCAGCCAATCACTGTCCACTGTTTCACCCCATAGGCCAGTGATTCAGGCAGGCCGCCCCTGTCGTCGATGGCAACCGTGTTGGTGCGTGTGATAGAGGAGAGCATGCACAAGCCAGTGGCGTCACCTTTACACGTGCACATCGTAACCATGGAGGACGAGTTTCCAGGAGGTGTGATCGGTCAGATCCACGCCACAGACCAGGATGCTTTTGATATTCTCACCTACGGACACACACACCAGCAGAGCAGCCTATTCAAGGTATATGAGTGTGTGATCCAATGCTTTCCATTTCCTTTGTGCACGCATCGCATTCATATTTTGACAGTTTTTTCTTCAGTCATTCTCATGTTTTAGATTGAGTCCATTTGTTAGTCCACTAAGTCATTTTATCATTCAGTTATTATTATCATTCAGTTAATATAGTTATTATTTAAGTAATAACACAATTATTTACTTTGAGACAGTTTGAAATTCAAATAAATTATTAATTAAAAATTAATAAATAATAAAAAAAAATGTTTTGTCTAAAATAGAATTACGTTTTCAATCAAGTTCTGAGCATGACTACTCATTCTTTATTTTTAAGCATTTTTGAATGATAGTACAGTAATTAAAACAATGAAAATGGGTATTATGCAAAACCAAAAAATGTTTTCAAATCAAAACTGTCATAAGCTCCTTTGAAGTTCACGCATTTTTAAATCATAGTTTTAATCGTAATTCATTCCATTTTTATTTCTCTAATTTCAACCTTTTCAACATAAACTTTTAGATGTTTATACAATGAGAACTATTAATTCATTTGCATACATCCAAAGTTCAGACTTATAGTGTAATTAATTTTACTTAAATTTTAAATTAATTTACATTTTTAGAAGGTTAATTTTACAATTAATATTAATTACAAATTTGCAGATATGTATATTTACAAATTATAATTTATAAATTAGATGTTTATTATAAATTTATACTAATTTACAAATATTAAATAAAATAAATTATATATAATATATCAAATATAGTTTTGGTGAATTGTTACTAAAAAATATATTGTTTTATTATTTACTTTACTCCATCAGACATGGTCAAAAACAACAAAACTCTCATTTTGATTTCATAGGCTGAATCTAAATTTTGTGAATCTTATTAGATGTCTTATTGTGTGTTTTTTGACGTGTCCATCTTTTTGTCTCGCAGGTGAGTCCTCGAGACGGTCGAATCATCGCTCTGAGCGGGTTGGACGCGGGCCGCTACAGCCTCAACGCTACAGTAACAGACGGCCGCTTCACTGTGAGTGTGCCCGTGAGCGTGCATGTGGAGCAGGCCTCGGCCGAGATGCTCCACGATGCCGTGACGATCCGTTTCGACCACGTCTCCCCTCACGACTTCGTATCCCGTCACCTCCCCTCGGTCACACGCGTCCTGTCCAGCGTCATGGCGACGCCCTGGCCCGACGCTCTGCATGTGCTCAGTGTGCAGCCGGTGGAATCCACAGGGCAGCTGGACCTGCTGGTTGCCGTGGAGACGGAGGAAGGAGGCGGGTTCTACAAGGCGGCGTTGGTGACGCAGAAGCTGAGCTCTGCGCGCCGCCAGCTGGACCAGGTTCTGAGAGTCTCAGCGGTGCTGGATAAGAACTGCTCGGGTCTGGACTGCAGGGAGGCCCAGTGTGAACAAACCATCACGCTGGACTCGCACAGTCTGCTCACGTACAGCTCCACCAAAACCAGCTTTGTGTCACCCAAGTTCCACAGGAACACCCGATGCGTGTGCAGCGGTGAGTGTGTCTGTGTCTGAATTTTATTTGACTATGGTTGATTTTAAACCAGTGGTTCTCAACATTTTTGATTAAAAAGCCACCGTTTTCCAACACAGTTTAGCAGATGCTTTTATTCAAAATGACAAAAGAGGAACACAATATCCATGCATATAGGCTATTCATGGTATTTGTGCTGTAAATATGACCAAACATTTTTTAATAGAATTTATTTATAGATTTAATTAATAGAATTTTAGTAATAGAATTTGTTTATTTTAATATAATTGTTTATAGAAACTGTAAGTATTGATATTTAATTAACCACAATTCAATTTGTAATTCTTGAAGTTTCAACAAGTATGTTATGAAGGGGGGGGAAACAGAATATTTCAGTCTTGATTGTACTTTTAATTTATATTGAAGTTAGATTATTTTAATTTATTAATAGTTATTTATTAATTTAAGTAATTTTAAGTCATCCTGTGGCATTCTTGGAATTTTTCTTTTCGTGTTTACATATTTATTAGGGTTATAATATTGAGTCTCATTCAATGATAATTGTGCTGCAGTTGTGACTAAATACACAAATAAAATTAACATAAATGTATGTGTTTAGAAAAAGTTCCTGCACAAAATATTCAAGGTGCAAATGCATAAATTTGTTCTTACCTTTGTTATACTGTTGATACATGTACATTTTGTTTGCATTGATATGCATAACCTAGCCATGTAACCGATCAAGCTTGTTCATAATTGATCATCCTTTTGTCATTGTGTTTTTAGCAATAACTTATGTAAATTCATATAAATAGACATTTTGGCATAATTTATGATTCTAAGGCCATTTTTTAAAGGTCCTACATTTAGTATAATTTTGTAAATGTAAATGTGCAAACACATTGTTTCGACAAAAAAATAGTGATTGTGGCCTGTTGGTTGGACAAATACTATTAATCTGTAGCAATGTTGCCATGTACACTCTGGTACAAGTGTTACTTTATCAATTACATGGTGCTGTTAGACTGTTTGAACCATTAAACCGTTTCCATTACAAAAAAATAAATACAATTTGAATCAATATTTAATGAGGGTGTCACAAGGTTTCTAAATAACTCACCATATCATTGTAGCACGGTGTTGATTCTCACTGTATACAAAAGCAGTTTTGACCTCTATCAAAATTACTACATTCTATCAAATGTTCCTTAACACAAGGTTAAAAGTGGTCTTAACTCTATCTTTAAAAGATGTTAACCCAGGGTGAAGCGCAATGTGAAAAGCCCTTAATATTAAACATGCAATTACAAAATGACTCTCTTGAACACGGGCCACATCCTTGGGCTCAAAAACAGCAGGAATAGAAAGTTGTCATTTAAATTAGGAAAAGTGTCTGTGGTCCATGTTATCGCATATGTGGGACCATTTTTCAAAATTGAGATTTATACATCATCTGAAAGCTGAATAAATAATCTTTCCATTGATGTATAGTCGAGATGCAACTATTTGAAAATCTGGAATCTGAGGGTGCAAAAAAAACTAAATATTGAGAAAATCGCCTTTAAAGTTGTCCACATGAAGTTCTTAGCAATGCATATTACTAATCAAAAATTAAGTTTTAATATATTTACAGTAGAACATTGACAAAATATCTTCATGGAACATGATCTTTACTTAATATCCTAATGATTTTTGGCATAAAAGAAAAATTCGATCATTTTGACCCATACAATGTATTTTTGGCTATTGCTACAAATATACCCAGTGACTTAAGACTGGTTTTGTGCTCCAGGGTCACATATAATTCAAGGAAACTGTACACCACTATAAAAAGAGCCTGTTTGTGTTGCAATAGTAATTTGTCCCTCTCTTTCGCTCAGACGGGAGTTGTTCTGCTGCGTCGGAGGTGTGTGTGGACATGAGATGTCCCGGTGACATGCAGTGTGTGGGAACGGACATCAGCAGGGGGCCGTACGTGTGCCAGTGTCCGCCGGGCAAACTGGGAGAGTGTGCAGGTATCTTATAAGCCCTGTGTGAAAGCTCTTTAAGAGTGATATTTAATGTGGCACCTTCTTACAATAAGAGCCGTTTCCTTTTCAGTGACTGATGTTTTGTGTGTATGTTGTTCAGGACACACCTCTCTGAGCTTCTCTGGTAACAGTTATATCAAGTACAGAGTGACGGATGGAGAGAGAAGCGGAGAGATGAAGTTAGCACTCCGCATCAGAACGCTGCAGAGCACAGGAATCATTATGTACACGCGTGCAGATCCGTGTAGTGTGCTGAAGGTACACACAAACACACATTTATAAAGCAAGTGAAAAGAGTTATGAGATCTTAAAAAAAAACTTTTTGAGGGGTTAACAGGTATGAACACTACCAATCAAAAGTTTCAAGATTTAAAAAAAAATGTTTTTAAAAGAAGTATTTTCAGCTCACCAAGGCTGCATATACTTGATATAATATACAGTAAAAAACTGAAATAATATGAAACATTATTATCATTTATAATAACTGTTTTCTGTTTGAACATTCTAAAATGTAATTTATTTCTTGTGATCAAAGTTGTATTTTCAGCATCATTACTCCAGTCTTCAGTGTTACATGATCCTTCAGAAATCATTCTAATATGTAAAAAAAATGTTTTTAAAAGGAAGTATTTTCAGCTCACCAAGGCTGCATATACTTGATATAATATACAGTAAAAAACTGAAATAATATGAAACTGTTTTCTGTTTGAACATTCTAAAATGTAATTTATTTCTTGTGATCAAAGTTGTATTTTCAGCATCATTACTCCAGTCTTCAGTGTTACATGATCCTTCAGAAATCATTCTAATATGCTGATTTGCTGCTCAAGAGACATTTATTATTATTAATATCAATGTTGAAAACAAGATAGATTTTTTCAGTGTTCTTTGATGAATAGAAAGTTCAAAAGAACAGCATATATTTGAAATAAACATCTTTTTTACTGTCTTTACTGTCACTTTTTGATCAAAGTAATGCATCCTTACTGAATAAAAGTAATAATTTCTTAAAAAAAAATAATAATTACCACAAACTTTGAAAACAATAATATTAATAAATATTTTGATTGTTGGTGTCAAATATTTTGAGTGTTGGATCTTTCGATTGTTTTTGGAGCCTTTTTGTTAAAAAAACAAAAAAAACAAAGTTGAAGATAAGTTATTGATGCACTTTTCCTGATTTGATTCACTTCCTATTCACAACTGTCTTTACTGTCACTTTTTGATCAAAGTAATGCATCCTTACTGAATAAAAGTAATAATTTCTTTAAAAAAAATAATAATTACCACAAACTTTGAAAACAATAATATTAATAAATATTTTGATTGTTGGTGTCAAATATTTTGAGTGTTGGATCTTTCGATTGTTTTTGGAGCCTTTTTGTTAAAAAAAACAAAAAAAACAAAGTTGAAGATAAGTTATTGATGCACTTTTCCTGATTTGATTCACTTCCTATTCACAAACTCGATTTGATTTGATTCAATTCTGATTCGTTTTGGTGTAGTTATAGTGGTTGTTTTGCTTACATGTTCTTACATTTAAATTTGCTTACATATTTTTACATTTAAACTCTCAGCTAATGCTTTAAATTATACAGAATCATTTTTTTAGACTGATTCAAAGCAAGTCTTTTGGAACTTAGACAGGGCTCCAGACTGCGCCTAAAAATAATAAAAAATATTAATTTGCGAGTGATATTTCTGCTGAGATCGCCACTGGCGACTATATAAATGTACATGTTATGACTTAAAAATTAGCATGTAATGCCTTTTTTCCTGCTTGTTTTGCGATCACATCTTTTGTTATGTTGACGTGATAAACTGAGACAATGCGCTGACGGCACACCTGCTGAAATCAGCTCCAGTTGAGAGAGAAAGAGATCGAAAATGACGGAGGCGTGTATGATATATAACTTGAGCAAACTGCAACAGGTAAAGCTGTCAGCTGTGTGGACATTAACAATATCGTTAACAATTCTCATTTATAATAATTCTCGATACTGATATGGCTTCTTGTTATCAAGATCTTTAGTCTATATGCTGTGTTCTGTTAATGTGTGAACTTCATATTATTTGTAGCGCACTTGCCGTCCAATAATCGCAATAAGCTTTGTGCTCTGTTACCTTTTAATAAACAAAGTATCAGCTTTAAAATTCTGCCAGATTCATAACGAAATTCAAACAATTAATACCGTTTTGACGCTCTTTAATGTAGCACGAGTGATCGCTGTGACACATGACAACATTTATAGGATGCTTTGAGGAGGAGCCCAAACTACACTCAATGACCAAGTGATGCTGATAGAATTATGGTCAGTGATATTGGCACAGATTCTGTGTAATAAACAGTTCTTTGTGACTGTATATAGTTCTGAAGTTGGAAAAGACATTTAGTTCCCAGGACATCTACAAGATGGATTCAAATGCTGATGCTGTAAAAGGAGGGGAGACATAAATACATAACAGTATGAAATGTTAAGGTGTTGAAAAAAAAGAAATGAAACACGTTTATTCTGTTGCACTTAAAAAAATAATTTGGTGCCTAATTTTGTTTCTTATAGGAGCCAATGGCTCCCTAAGTGTTTTTTTTTTTTTTTTTTGTCTGGAGCCCTGAACTAATCATTAAAAGAAATGTCTCATAAGAGTAATTCATTTAGGGCAGAGTTTCCCAAACTGGAGTATGCGAAGGAAATGCAGGGGATTGTGTGTTATTATATCATAAAAATGAAAAATTTTCATATATAACTTATATACAGTAAATACAATCAATGTACCATGAACATGCAAATCTGTTGTTAAATTATAGAAATATTAGCTTAAAATCTCAGGGGGAGACCAAAAGTTGTACCTTAATATTTTAGGCAAAAAGGAGTTTGAATGACACAAAAGGAGAGAATCTCAGGTTTAGGGAATCGCGCTACACTGGTCACGTTATATGTTTGTTTTTGCATGCCATTCTTTCACAGTGTGATCTTTTTAATGCATCACATTTAACATAGACCGCGTCTGCATTTGACTGATAGATCGAAGAGGGAAAGCTGTGGTTCCAGTTGGATTGCGGCAACAGTCCCAGGAGCATCGGGATCTCCGGCCGTCCGGTCAACGACGGGAACTGGCATCACGTGGTCCTGGAGCTGCGAGGAAACTACAGCAGCCTTTCGCTAGATGACATGTACGTGGAACGGCGACTGGCCACGACTAAATACCGACCTCTGGGAGCAGATTTGTCCATTTATTTCGGAGCGCAGGTGTCGCCCCCGGATGCCCGTAGCTTGACGGAAAGGAAGGGTCCGTGGGTCACCAACGGCTTTCAGGGCTGTTTGGACTCTGTGGTTCTGAACGACAATGAACTCCCGCTGCAGAACAAGCGCAGCCCGTATGCAGAGGTGGTGGGACTGACGGATCTCAAGTTGGGATGCGTTCTCTATCCGGATGCGTGTGCCGCTCAGCCCTGTGTAAACGGTGCCACCTGCGTTAGCCTGCCATCTGGAGGTGAGAGAGTGTGTGTGTGTGTGTGTGTGTGTGTGTGTCCAAACCCTGCTTAACTCTCCAGAAATGTCTGTTTTTAGGATTGTGCCATGATTCATCTTAATGTTATAATTAATCCTCCTGGTCGCTTCAGTTACTCTCCAGTTAATCTGCTTCTGTGATGTAATTACTCTGGTTAATAAGCTTTGCTCAGTTTTGGCTCGCTTCTGTCTGCCGAGTGAAGCTCTAATTCACATCTACTGCGTCTGATGGAGACCAAATGACCAATTATGATGATTAAATCCACATGCTTTCCACATGCTCTCCAGTACATCTCATCTCATCTTCTGTTCGGTCCTTGTGTTTTCTCTCGCATTTCTTCTCATCTTGTGTCATCTCTTTTCTTCACATCATACTGTCTCTTCTCACGTCATGTTTTCATCTATTCTCTTCTCTGTCTCTTCATGTCAACTTTCTACTCTTCTCATCTCATGTCCTTTCTAGTCTCTTCTTGTCTCGTCTATTCGAAATCTCATCTTGTTTTCCTTGTCTCATCTTCTCTCCTTGTCTCTTCTTGTTTTTTTTTTCTCTTGTCATCTCATTATCATCTCTTTACTTCTTGTCTCGTCTATTCTCTAATTTCACACCGTCCTGTCTCTTCTCTCCTCGTCTCTTCTGTCTGACTTTCACTCGTTCACTGGCTCTGATGAATGGAGCAGTGTGTTGTGGGAGTTGTGGTGTTGTGCCGTACACATCCTCTCTGTAAAGGTCGATTGTGCAGGAGTGTCTGGCAGACGTATCTGTTTGTTTGTTTTTGTGGGGAGACCTGATAAAGCCAGCGCACTGTTTACTCACTGACATTTTCCACGCGATTTCCCACCGGCGTGTGAGCGAGCGTGTGTCTGCACGATTGTTTTGCAATTCATGAACAAGCCCCATCTCTCTTGTGTGTCTCTCAGGTTATTTGTGCATTTGCAGCGCTCTGTACACCGGAGGGCACTGTGAGACGGAGATCAGCGTCTGCATGCCAAACCCGTGTCAGAACGGCGGCGTGTGTAAACCCATCGGAAACGCCTTCATCTGCAGCTGCAAGAGAGGATACACCGGCGCAACGTCAGTTTACCAGCATTTCAGCTACTTTGGTCTTAGCTGTTCAGTTTTTGATCCCAAAACATCCCACATGATGTTTTAAAGAATTTATATATTTCTATACTTAAATATGAAAAAAAATATTAATAGTATTACTTATAAATTACAAAATATATTTATGACCAATAAATATAAATATATATTTGTTATATTCATCTAAAAAATTTATATATAGAGGGAATATGCACTTATATTTATAAATGTATTTTTATTTTTAATAAATGTAATATTTAATATTTTTTAAATATAAATTATTTGTAAAAAATGTCATATTTTTAGCAAGATAATGATAGCAGAGGGTTATGTATATTCAGATGTAATTAATTGTAATAATTGTAGCATAGATAAATTAAAAATTATTCAATTTGGGCTTCTTGTTAATAATAATTATTATTATATTTTATGTTTCATATATTACCAAGTCTATATTCTATCTCTCTCACTCTCATAGACATGTCTCATAGACATTTTTAAATATAATTTATTGTAAATTGTAAAGTTATTAGCAAAATAATGATACCGGAGGTATTATTTAAATGTATAATAATGTTCATAATTTTAACATATATTAATATAGAATTATTCAATTTAACCTTAATAACTATAACAAATAATAAGAATATTTATTATTATATGTTATATCTTATTATATAATAATAATATATTATTATATATTATTGTATTATTTTAATATTTAATATATTAACAGGTCAATATTCTCTCTCTTTCTCTCTCTCTCTCTACACACACACAAATATATATATATATAGGTTAGTAAACAAGCATCCAAATATTGTGTGATTTTCTTTTTTGTGTAGCTGTACACAATGACGCTGTGTGTGTTTTGGATGTAGGTGTAGTCAATTAGATAGATGAAATTAAAGGGATAGTTCACCCAAAAATTAAAATTCTGTCATTAATTACTCACCCTTGTGTTGTTCCAAACCCGTAAGACCTTCGTTCATCTTCGGAACACAATTTAAGATATTTTTGATGAAATCTGAGGGCTCTCTGACCCTCTCATAGACAGCAAGGTAACTACCACGTTCAAGGTCCAGAAAAGTACCAAGATGATCGACAAAGTAGTCCGTGTGACATCAGTGGTTCAACTGTAAAGTTACGAAGCTACGAGAATACTTTTTTTGCACAAAGAAAAGTCAGCGGCGCCACACGCTCGCATCATGATGCTGTCGTGAACGCGTATCCACAAGTGATGCAGTAGAGACGAAAATGTGAAATAAAGTCGTTATTTTTGTTTTCTATGCGCAAAAAAGTATTCTCGTAGCTTTGTAACTTTACAGTTGAACCACTGATGTCACATGGACTACTCTGTCGATCCACTTGGTACTTCTCTGGACCTTGAACGTGGTAGTTACCTTGCCGTCTATGGGAGGGTCAGAGAGCCCTCAGAGTTCATCAAAAATATCTTAAATTGTGTTCCGAAGATGAGCAAAGGTTTTACGGGTTTCGAACAACATGAGGGTGAGTAATTAATGACAGAATTTTCATTTTTGGGTGAACTAACCCTTTAAACTTTCCAAAGTCAAGAGCTGCAAACATAATTTAATAACCAGCATCTGTTCCATTCTAAAACATGTACACAAGTCTGTTTGTGTTGGCAGCACACCATGAAAAACTGGCACAGGCTTAGCACTGACTTGTTTGCCATGTTTGCATACATATTCATACTTACTTGTTCTCCTTGTACATTTTTATGCAGTCGGTGTAATGTATTTCTCAGTTGTCCTCGCTGAAGGGAACTGTAGCGCTATTTGTGGCCACAAGATGGTGGCATCAATCTATCTGCATGTGAGCAGCGTTAGTCTTTTTTAAAGATAGTTTCAAGCCTCTCTGTGCATGGAGGAGATTATACTGCTGCAGTCTCTCTTGGCTTATGCTAATGTAGTTACAGACCACAGACACTTTTATTTGGTCTTTTAGCACTGCTGAGGCAAATACACACAGACATCAGAACACTTTAAAGGGGTCATATGATGTTGCTAAAAAAGAACATTTGTGTATTTGGTGTAATGAAATGTGTTTATGCGGTTTAAGGTTAAAAGGTATTTTCCACATACCGTACATTATTGTTTCTCCTCTAATGCCCCGCCTTTCTGAAACGCGTCGATTTTTACAAAGCTCATCGGTCTGAAAAGCGTGGAACACCGGCATTGTAGTCTACTCTCCCAGGAAACAGTCCTCGGCCTCCATAAAATGCGCTGCACACATCTGAATATTTGTGTTGAAGTGTTCTGGAACAGTGTTGTAAACACAACTTAACCACTGGTTTCTAGTCGTGTCCTCTTTTGGAAGACCAAACAAAGTAGTTTCGCTTTCACAACGAAGCACACAGCATCTCTAGAACATGGCGGCGGTGTCAACAATACTACAGTGAGAATCAAAGTTATACCTTCTTTCTTCACGTGAACATTTGGGCGGTGTTATGCAAATCTTCCCACATCGTGACGTAGACATGTGGGGGCGTGTTTAAACGAGCCGTTTTAGGAGGGAGTGGACGAGTCTTTTATAAAGTTACTTTTATAAAGAATATCTCTTTGGGTTTGAGACTTTAGTCTTTGCAACTTATCTATGCACAATCAGCTTGTAACACTCCAAAGAGAAAGGAAAACTTGAATATGAATTGAATATGACCCCTTTAAACACGGCCTTTCATGCACCTGCAGTGTGTCTTTAGTCACACTTCGAACACACACACACTTGCTTCACAGGACGTATATGGGCACATTGAAGACAACATGAAATAAACATTTTATCATCCATTATGTGGTATATTATATTATATTATATTATATTGTGTTATTTAATTTTATATATATATATATTAGAAAAGTAAATATTACGTAAAATGTTAAATTAAAGTTAAATTAAACCATTTATTATTTTATTTCAGTTATTTTAGCTTATTTACTAAAATAACTACAACTAAATAAACAAAAACTAATAATAAATAAACAAATTAAATAATAAATAAATAGCCAAATAAATAAATAAAAACAAAAACTATAAATAAAAAAAATTAATAAAAACTATATAGACCTATAAAAAAATAATAAAAATGACGAACAAAAACATTAAAGTAAAAACAGAAAATATAAAAATAAAATGCTAAAAACTATTGTAGTATATCAATGATACTAAAATATCTATCTATATATATATATATATATATATATATATACATTTTTATTAAAAAAATTTTTTTTAATAATAATTATATATCATTTATATCATATATTAAATATAAAAAATATACACAGTTATTTTAATTTTGTTGTATTAATATATTTTTTCTCATCTGTGTAGCCTTGGTTGCCTCTAAACTTGTTTATAAAGCAGTGAAAGTTGCATTTTGATTAAAGTTTTATGAAAAAGCCCAGCAATATTTGTTATGAGAGTAAAAAAGTCGCATTTGATTTCACATTGTTTTTAATGACTCTTTGAAACATGGTGAGTAGCTCCCAAAAATGGCTGAAAACAAAAGTCGATTTTTTTATTTATTTATTTTTGTCCTCCTAACCAGCTGTGACAGTTTGCTTGGTTTCCATGAAATCTCACAGCTCCAAAATCCTTCTCCAAATGTCTAATAAAAATCTATTCTGATAGGCTGTTATTGTGTGGTGTCGCCCAGCATTTTCACTTTCACTGTAGACAGACGGATTACTTTAGGCTGTAAACGTATCCCATCATGCCTGCTTTCAGACACAATGTCAGTTTTTTTATAGACTGATGCATTTCTGCGTCAAAATAAATTTTACAGCGGGCCAAGGACACTAAACTGATGCAGTAAAAACCCAGTGGGCCACAGTAACCAGCGAGTGTTTATTTCTCCTCTGCAGTTGTGAAGAGGACGTGAACGAGTGTGAACGTGAGCTGTGCGAGAACGGCGGCGTGTGCGTCAACACTTTCGGCTCGTTCTACTGTAACTGCACACCGGGTTTCGTGGGCAGCGCTTGCTCCATTCGTCCCGTGCTTGTTCCGGATATGCAGGCTGGCCACGCCTACGTTGGGAAGGAGGAGCTTATCGGCATCGCCGTCGTGCTCTTCCTCATCCTCACCCTCATCCTCCTATTCATCGCCTTCCGGAAGAAGGTATTCCAGAAGAGCTATTCGCGGAATAACCTTTCCATGATTCAGGATCCGGCTACGGCTGCCCTGCTGCACAAAGCCAACGGTGGGCACTATCCACCGCTACGCTGCGCCATTGGAGAGCCAATCAGCTTGTACATGGAAGGAAGTCTTTCGTGTCCTCCTCAGGTCCCCGTTAGGCCGATGGCATACACGCCGTGTTTTCCCGGAGACACTCGGGGAACCCTGGAAAAGCGGCCAGGTGACGGCCGAGGCATGGAGCTGACGGAAATGAGCACTTTCCATCCATCTGAGTCGCCGCGGATACTGGGCGGGACCAACCGGAGGGGCGTGGTCGTGTGCAGCGTGGCACCAAATCTGCCGCCCGTTTCGCCGTGCCTGTCTGACTGTGATTCCCTACGGAAGAGTCCCTGGGAAGAGGAGGGTGAGACATATATCTGTAATATCTTTGTTGTGTTTGTGTGCGTTTTAGAATATGAGAACGGATTGCAGTGACAATGATTAGTCAGCGTTCTTTAATCGCTCCGATCCGAATCCACTCCAGGTTTTCCATTTGCAGCTAGAGCACAGCTTAAAGAAATCTCACTCCGATTTCGCTCCATAGCAGATTTTCCACCCAGTTACTGCTCCACACATTTATTATAAATATAAATTTGAATATATTATGTGAATGTAATATTAATAGTAGACGAACAATAGTAACTGTGCATGTATATTCCAACTTTTACTTTGAAAAAAATAATAATGTCAACATCATTCACATCAAATAATCAACATCAAATCATTAATTAATTTTATTTGGTATATTTGATCGTTTTCTCTGTAGTACTATTTCACAAATTCTATTGTTATGTTATAAAAAATAAAACATATTTACCAATATAATATTAATGCCATATATGATTGTAATATAAATAGCAGAAATGATAAATACAATAGTAATATTGCATGTATAAACAAACTCTTAATTTTGCAGGGGTTTTTTTATCCGTTTAAAAAAAGAACCCCAAATGAAGAAAAAATCTATTTATTATTGTTGTTGTTTTCATTTTAAATTGCTCATTTGTTTATTATTAATATTTACTAAACATTTTGCATATTTAATAAATTTTTCCAGTAATATATTTCCCAAACTTTTTTCCATTAAAAAATATTTAGAAATATAATTGTATTTTCATATATTAAATTAGATTAATATTAATAGCTGAAAAATGATAGTAAGGTTGCATATGTGCTTGGCATATATCAATTTAAAACCCAAATTAAGAATATTCAAAGAAAAATGATTATAATTATTATTTTTATTTCAAATTGCTCATTCATCCGTCATTAATTTTTACTAGACATTATATTTCCAAATTAATATTTCCCTAATTCCATCTTCTTTTATTCGCACTATTAGTAGTCTATTTCAAATTGTGTGTGAGTTATTGCTGACATCAGTTGCAGATGTTAAAGTGTATTGTGGTTGTGATGGAGTGCTTTGGGAGCGATCTCAGCCAGAACATGCTGACCCTCTGATTATAAAAAAAATAAACCGTTTCTCGCTCCAGGCAAAATCATGCAACTCCTCTCTGCATCGCTCATTTTTATTTTTTTTTTAGGGTTCGTATGAAACCCTGTTTCTGCCACTGAATAAAAAAAGACAATTGCGAGTTTATATTTCACAATTCTTGACTTTTTTTCTACAGGTCAGAGAAGTAAACCCAGAACTGCGAGATCTAAAGCCAGAATTGTGATATATAAACTCAGAATTGCAAGAATTTTGAGATAAAATGTTAATTATAATTTCACATGGCAGAAACAGGCTTCCATAGTTTGTTCCAAAATGTTTTGTTTCACTTTTCTCTTTCACTTTTCATCAATTGGATGTGTCCTAGCTAGATAAAAGTATTAATTTCTTAAAAAAAAAAAAAAAACACTCATTTTTTTGACCCCAAACTTTTGCGTTGACTCTCACTAGGTGTGTTTCCATTACAGATTTGCACAAAACCTTGGCGATATTTTATAAATGTCGATAAAAAAGTATTGCTTTTCCATTAACCAATGTTATGCGACTAAAACGTAACCTTTTGCCTCTCGCGATAAGTCATGGCAACAGATTTTGGTGGGATTTTGGCTATATTTATTCAAAGGAGGCGTATGCGTGTATCTTTACAGAAGCAGCACAGAGAGCCGCTTCAGAAACGTGTGTGGCTCGGCTGGAATAAGCACAAGCATTGACTAGAGTGGCCGTAATCAGCTTCAGTGGCTGTATCAGAGCCACACTGCACCGCAGACGTGTGCAGTGTAAATTGTCTAACCATTAATGTTAGGGAAAGCCCCTTATACTGGAGCGCGGCCACTTATGAAGTGTTTCTTGGAGGTTATAGTACATTGAAGAACCTGACCTGTGACCTGTAAATGCGAAAAAGCCGTTTCCATTGCAGTTTTGCGAATTATTGCTTTTTCGCATTGCCTGAAAACCACCTCATGCCAGCGTAAAAACTTTTTTACGATATATGGGCGTTTTTGCGAAATTGACGCGTTTCCATTAGGCGTATTTTCAATTCGCAATTTCAATTTGCGCAATTTGAAGGGTAATGGAAACGCGCCTACTGTAGCAGCCTGGGATCTTAAACATGACTTTATTTCCTCAAGAACCAATAACCAGATTGTAACTGGTTGCCATTTTTGTGTGCATGCATCAGGCGATCCGTGAGCGGCCCACGGGAGTGCTTTTGAGAGTCAAAACAATGGGAAAAGTCCAAATAAAAAGCATTTCCCTTAAGACTCGATATAAATCTTCACATCAATAAATACTGAGAGGAGAGCAGTTATGGAAGTATGTATATGGGGTCCGTTTAGTGGAGAAGTTGATGGCAAAAGCCATTTTTACTCTGGTATTAAATTCTCCTTCATCTGAATCCTCCGAGGCTTTTTACCGCCCATAATTACTTCATTTTTCATTTTCTTGTGGTTTGTGGTGTCCTCTGTTCAAACCCTCTTAGGTCTTAAAAATCTCCACCTGTGAAACACGAAGTGAGACAGTTATATGCAGCTGTTCTAAGCAGCCGTTTCCGTGACACCATTAGAGGAAAGATCAAAGGAAAAATGTTCGGGAAAAGAAAGAAATTAAAAGGCAAACATCAGAGAGAGGACTTCTCGGATACAGAATGGCATGGAGATTCACCCACAGCTGTGATTCACAAAACGTGTGTGTGTGTGTGTGTTTACTGTAAGTTAGTCTGTGATTGGTTGATGTCCTGATCTTTGTATTCAGGTAAAGTGGATTTGCTGGAAGAAGTCACATGTTTCTCTGGCAGTAACAAGGGCAGCAACTCCGAGGTCCAGTCGCTGAGCTCCTTTCAGTCTGATTCCTGTGATGATAACGGTAAGTGTGTGTGTTTACTGTTGCTCCTGCTCATCGTGAAAGGATAAAACAACATGCATCTTTCTTCAGGACTCTTCATGCAGTCATCCTCATCGCCAATTTGTAAATTTAGTAAAAAAAAAAACAATAACAAAAGAATTATGAGATGGATGTGAGAGGTGTGTGTTTGTGTGTGTGTTGCTGCTTTCAAGTCCCTGACCTGATACTCTTTTTCACAAACTATAATATAGCAAGGTTTACAATTGATTCTTAATTTTTGCTCATTTATTAACCATCATTTAATAACTTAGTATCGAACTTACACTTCGTAAATTGTCTCAAAACGTTTGAGTTATGAGACATGAATGAACCTCAAATCTACAGCAGAGAATCATGGGAACTGTAGTTTTGTTGCACTGACCTGTTGCCTTATAATGGGTAAAAGTATTTTCAGGCTAGATTTATTGCTTTATCAACAGGACAGAATGTAAACAATCAAATTCTGTAATCAACAGTCACTGTTATGATTTATAATAATAAATACCCATTTTTAAAGGTCTACCGATTTTAATATATATATATATATATATATATATATATATATATATATATATATAATTATTATTATTACTACTGATACAGATAAAGATTTTTTTGTTTATATTTAACTGTCTAATAATCAATATGCCAAATTGTTCATTATACTTTAATTGTTGCTTTAAATCTGTTAATGACATCAAATAATCATAAAAAATAAGACTGACCATTAGAACATATGTACATTAATATTTTAATAATAATAATAATAATTGATATAAAAAAAATTCTAAAATGTCATTAATAATAATAAATAAATAAATAATGAACATATCTCACTTAAACATACATGACTGTTATTTTAAAAAGTCATACAAACTGATTTTAATTATTGCTTAAAATCTTGGGCTAGCCACACTAAATAATTATACTAGGAAAATTAAAAACATGTAAATAAATTAAGAATTATTATTATTAAAAAAATTCAAATGTATATCATTTAATAATAATAAATAGTAACAAATAATTGAAACATCTCACTTAGGCGTGCATGACTGTTATTTAAATAGTTAATTAAATTAAAATATATAATTTATGCAAACATTACCATTTTAAATCCTGTTGAACACACATGTATTGTAGGATGCTATGCTTTAGAAACTCACCAGAAGACATTTATCGGATGACCTTGTATTAAAAAGTTAGCTGGTTAAGTAGAAAAGTGTGAATATCAGTAAAAAATACTGTCTCTACCAGTCTTCTTCTGCCATTATTCTTTAATTGATATATTTAATATAAAACGTTGTAGTGACTTTAATTTACACTCATCTCATAAATTTGTGAAAAGATTTGTGTGTGTGCGCGTGCGTGCATGTGTGTGTGTGTGCTGATCACATCATCACCATCTCTTCTCAGATTCGCTGGAATGATGTCATGCTTGCCTTTCATTGGTCACATCTAATTTCATCCGCAGCCAATCAGGCCACAGAAGCTTCTGCAGTGGACCAACAGTGTTATGGATATTGTGGAGTTGATTCTTCTGTTTGATTGGTCTGTGGCTCAGTTTGGTTCTTGTGCGTGCGTGTGTGTGTGTGTGTGTGTGTGTGTGAGCGAGTGTGAACGTGCGTGTGAATGTTTCTGACTGGTCTTCATTGCTTTCTCTTTCCAAGCTTCCATAGTGACGGTAATTCGGCTGGTCAATGATGCAGTCGACACGATTGAGAATGAAGGTACTCTTTCTCACCGCTGGACTCTGAAGCATCTTCCTTAAAAGTGCTTGAAGACTCATGCACTAACCTTTATAAACATAGCTGAAACACACTCTCTCTTTCTTTCTCTCTTTTTTTGTTGTTTACTCACATACATATTTACTTAGAAGTATATATGTGGACCATAGACTTTAATTAGGGCTGGCACTCAATTAAATAATTAATCACATTGTATGCAGATTAATCATTTGAAGTATTCATGATTAATTGAATATCAATATTTGATATGAAAAGCCCTCAAGTAAAGATAATTTAATTTTATCACCATTTCACATAAATATGTATTTTTTTATGTATAGAATTACATTTTTTATAATCATCCAAAAAAATTTATTTTTAATATAAAGATTAGTATGATTGCAAACCCTGTCCCTTAAAAGAAAACTTTTGGAACTTTTAGTTTGCAGTCATTATAATTTTATTTTTTATCATTTTTATTGCTGAATTGTGGGGGGGGGTTTCAGTCGAGTGCATTCTCAAAGGGTTTTGTCAGATTTAGCTTTGTTCTTCTCATTTCTTCCCCAAACTATAGTTAAGTACACTACAAAAGTACCTTTACGTTATTAAATACTGTGTGTGTGTGTGTGTGTGTGTGTGTGTGTGTGTGTGTTTGTGTGTGTGTACCTGTTTTTCTATTCTGGTGGGGACTTAAACCTGAATACACAAATACACATAGGGACTCGTGTCATGGTGGGGACCTAAGTTGAGGTCCTCACGGGTAAACAAGCTAATAAATCACACAGAATGAAGTTTTTTGAAAATCTAAAAATGCAGAAAGTTTCCTGTGAGGGGTAGGTTTAGGTGTAGGGTTGGTGTGGGACAATAGAATATACTGTCGGTACAGTAGAAAAATCATTACGACCTATGGAGAGTCCCCACAAGGATAGCTGACCAGACGTGTGTGTGTGTGTGTGTGTGTGTGTGTGTGTGTGTGTGTGTGTGTGAGCATTACTCATGAGAAGAAACGTCACCCCAGTCAGCAAGATGATCCAGCAAACACACACGAGTCCCTTCTCAAATTATTTTCGCTGACGAACACACACCTACAAACACTTCCCCAGATCATGTATTACCCAGAACGGAAGAGCACACATCTTGCAAACACACACGTTTGAAGTTGTTAAAAAAAAGAAGCTTTTCAAGTGTATCTTCAAAGCTAGACATGCTGAAGTAATGTAGGCTGATGAGCTTGTTTGAGCTTTTCCACTTTGATTTAGAGGTTATAAATTTCACAAACTTCTGCATCTCAAAACTAGTTTATATTTACTTACTATATTTTTTAAACCAATTCATATTGTCAGAGTGCTGTTGTATATTTATTAAAGGGGTCCTATTATGCTCTTTTACAAAGTCTTGATTTTGTTTTGGGGGTGTACTAGAACAGGCTCTCATACTAGGTTGTTCGAAAACCACATTATTTTTCACATATTTTATATTACAACACCTCTCTCCCCAGGCTGGCATGAACGGCTCGAATAGTTCCTGAATCAAATGAAGGCCCGCCTTCTGAAATACGAAATGTGCTGTGATTGGTTAGCTGGGCCAGTGTGTGTTGTGATTGGTTGGCTGGGCCAGTGTGTGTTGTGATTGGTTAGCTGGGCCAGTGTGTGTTGTGATTGGTTGGCTGGGCCAGTGTGTGTTGTGATTGGTTGGCTGGGCCAGTGTGTGTTGTGATTGGTTGGCTGGGCCAGTGTGTGTTGTGATTGGTTAGCTGGGCCAGTGTGTGTTGTGATTGGTTAGCTGGGCCAGTGTGTGTTGTGATTGGTTAGCTGGGCCAGTGTGTGTTGTGATTGGTTAGCTGGGCCAGTGTGTGTTGTGATTGGGTAGTTTTTGAAAAGTGATTTCTGTTAAATAAAATATCTCCTTTTGAATTTAACTTTGAGCTTTGTAACTTTGCAGATCTTTTTTATGCTCAAACAGCAACATTACAGACTAACTAAAGTTGAAAAAGTGAAAAAGCATAATAAGACCCCTTTAAGGTTCATGGAGTTTTTTTTGTTGTTTGGTTGTTTCATTGGCCGATACAAAGATTAGTTTGTATCGGCCAATGATACAACTGCTCATTTCCTGAGGTGTAATTTGCAGTATTATTTATATACTGTTATAGTATTTATTAATATTTTAATTATTTATTCGCTTAATTTATTGATTGATTTTAAATTTACTTTTTGTAATTGTATGTGCTTTTGTTGTTTTTATATATTTTTTTACATATATATATATAGCTTTAATCTATGTTTTAGTCATTTTAGTACTTGGAAAAATAATTTAAAAAACTTTAAATTAATGTAATATTTATTTTATTTTATCTTATTTTTTTATGAGTTTTTACATTTTCTTATAGTTTTAGTTCACAGTAACAACACCGCTTTAAAGTGGACAAAAATACTTATGGCACCTTTAAAACCAGCTCACAATGACCTATTATATACCTAGTGCTGATGAAACTATTTTTAGTATAAACAATTTTTTATGCATAAGCTAGGTTTATGCAGTTCCATTTCCGAATCCATTTTCAGCTAACTAGCTTATATTTTGTGTCTGAGGTCTTTTTTCTGTTGTATTAGTTAAGGATTGCTTTACATATGTTTTAGTGTATATACGGTACATAATCTGTAAACTGATACTATATTCATATTTAGTCCAGGTTTTGTTCTAACGTGTAGAACAAAGATGTAAATCAAATTTTTTTGAATGTGTGTGCGCTTGATTTTCTTAGTAATGGACTACAGACTCTCACTTACTTTTCTTTGTTCACATTTAAATGACATTTGAGTCGTGAGCTTAATCACAGTCAATCAAACTGATGAAGATCAAACATGAGCACTTTAATAAGCTGGGAAGAAATGTACACCTTTTTACAGCACCATTCTCTCTCTTTCTGTTTTCACTCTCTCTTATCCCTTACAAATATTGGCCGTGGTATTCATAATTTCCCTAATAAACTAGTTACTGCAGTTTTTGCTACTTAAAACTAAAATAATTTATTTAATAATAACAATAAACCACCTAAGCAGCTTTTTTAAATATTTCTATTTAGCTTTATAGTTTTTAGTTTTAGTAATTCACGCTAAAAATAAACCATGTTTTATTTTTTAGTTTTAGTAATTTTGTGTTTTGTGCTTTTGTTGTTTTTTGCTTTATTATTTCTTTATAGCTTTAATTTATATTTATTTAATTTTTTGTAATTTAAACTAAAAGAAATCATGTTTATTTTAGTAATTGTATGTGCTTTTGTCATTGTAGGTTGCTATTTTTTATATTTCTATGTAGATTTAATTTATATTTATTTAATTTTTTGTAATTTAAACTAAAAGAAATCATGTTTATTTTAGTAATTGTATGTGCTTTTGTCATTGTAGGTTGCTATTTTTTATATTTCTATGTAGATTTAATTTATATTTATTTAATTTTTTGTAATTTAAACTAAAAGAAATCATGTTTATTTTAGTAATTGTATGTGCTTTTGTCATTGTAGGTTGCTATTTTAATATTTCTATGTAACTTTAATTTTTTTTTTTTAAATTTACATGTTTCGTTTGTGTAACGGATGCACCAGTATATCACGAAACACACAGAAAATACAAATGATAGTGTTTTTCACTGAGATAAATGTCAAGTTCGATTTCAAAAACATATCTACATGCAATGATAGTGCATTTGAATATGGTGTTTGTACACAAACACGCGGTTAGGATGGGTTTGGTGCTGACCCACAAATCTGTCTCTTTCTCTTTCTCTGTCTTCCTGCTTCATTTCTGCCGGCCAGTGTCCGTTATGGATCAAGGTCAAAACTTCAACAGAGGTGATTCACGTTCTCTCTCTCCTCCTGCTTTGTTCAGCTAAATCTCCCAGAGTTCTTGCCCTCCTTCCTTTCCAGACTTTGTTCTCTGTCTATTCCTCCCTCTCTCGCTCTCCCTTTCCGTATTGCTGACAAACTGAGCTATTGCATTCTGGGAAATGTCACATCATCCAGCAGCGAAATGCTCTTTGTCGACACACACACACACACACACACACACACACACACACACATCAGAGTACCTGCAGTCCTCCGTCACCCTTTTCCTCTCTTTCTCGTCTGTCTCTTCCCCCGCAGTGCTTCCATTGCTGACTTTGTGTTTTTCTTTTGTTTGATATTGATGTTTTCTGATAGCGAGGATTAGGCCGTGTACAGTGTGTGTGTGTTTGTGTGCGTGTGCGTCCCTGCGCTTCTGTGTTTTCATGCATCGCTGCATGCAGTCCTCACTCTCGTTTTTTTTGATGAATGCGTTTCGCATGTGTCAACAATGCGTCACTGACCTCTGAATCTTGACCTCTTGTCCTGGCTGCGTCTTCGATCACCTTGCAGGCATGTCCACTCACTACGGCAAGACCTGCATGTGGAGATGTTCAGTGTAATGCTTCTGTCCCAAATACCCCAAAAAATCAAATGGATCACAAATGGGCACCCGAGACTCATTTGAAAAACGTGCCTGTGGCGACATTTCTGAAAAATTATATTAGTTGCTTCCTGCAGTTTCCAAAACACTTTCAAAGTGAAATATCCAGGGAGTGACACTAAAATCAATTCAATTTCAGTTCAGTTCTCGGTTTAATTTCATCCAAAACAGATGAACTTGAATGTGGTAATATTTAATTACAGTATGTTGGTTGTTGTATGAATTGAGGCAGTTCGGAAATTAAATGTCCGCTTATATTTGTATCATTGAGATACTATTATAGTTTTTATTAACATTTTAGTAACATTAGTTTTTATCTTTTATATTTTCTGTTTTCATTTGATTTAGTTTTATTTATTTTGCTTTGTGCTTATTTTTATTAGTTTATTCATTTTTATTTCAGTTTTAGTTATATTAGCATATAATTTAATTTCAAACTAAAAGAAAATCTGAATTTATATATATATATATATATATATATATATATATAAACCTTATTTGCCAAGGCAAAATTTCTATATATAGAGTAAAAAAAAAAAGCTTTTTTATGGTTTTAGTTAAATGTAAAAATCCTTATAAGTGGCATAAACATAACCGACAGTGTTTACAAAACCAAACATGAGATAAAACGCATTTGCTGAAGCAACCATGCCATTTTAGCATACTCAAAGTTTGCATAATCACAAAAATATTTTAATGAGCAAAGACTGAAATACTATTTTCTTGTAAAATACACTCTTAATAATTTTTTATATATTTACACCATCACAAAAAAATGGTTTTATTGTGTAGTTTACAAATCATCCACTATGGTAAAAGTGTTTCGAGGTCATACAAGTCTTTATTAATCAGTAATCTGACATGTAATCATAATTTGTGTTAACTTAAAAAAAAAAAGTTGTTGGTGTTTTACCGCCACTAGTGCTCATTTCAGCTGGAAACAGCAGTGAATTATATGTATACATAGAGATAATTCATTTTTTGCCGTTTTGGAAAGCTTTAATTAGAGGCACGTTTTTTCCAATGAGCTTAGGCTGCGAATGGGACGCTCTACAGTCTCAACAAATGCACCATTTGGGACAGGGCCAATGTCTAACCTGTTAAACCTCCCTTCAGAATGACCAAGCATGCAACCCTACATGATTACGCACCTAACGAAGGATCCCCTTAGTTGTTTGCCCACTCGATGTTTACTAACTTCCTGTTTCCTGTTTCTCCAGCATACCACTGGGACACTTCCGATTGGCTGCCAAGTATACGCCTACCTGACATCGAGGAGGTCCCCACCTATGAGACGGGCGAAGTGGGCGTGGCCTTAGAATCCGACTATTACCTTGGTGGATTCGATATCGACAGCGACTACTCACCACCTCAGGAGGAGGAGTTTATGTCCCAGGACCAGCTGCCCCCGCCCCTTCCCACCGAGGAATATGACACCTCACCCGCCAATCAACCCGTGTCTAGGGAGAGCACTCTGAGCGGGGACCGCAAGCCCCGCCCACACTTCCACCCCAGCCAATACCTGCCCCCGCATCAGCTGCCACTCGGCTCTACGGGGGAGGAGTTTAGCACTTTTACAGGCAGGGAGGCGCGCCTGTCCATCAATGCCTCCTCTGCCTCTGACGTTTCCTCCGCGCCCTGCGGGTTCGAAGACTCTGAGACAGGAGGAAGTTTGGATAGTTTGGAGGACGCGCACATGCACCCACATACACAGCAGACTGAGGTCTGATATTCCACCAGTAACTGCAGACGCAGTTAGTGATGTTCACAGGACGTGTTTTCCCACATAAAAGACACTAAACTCTTGCATCTGTCAGATGCAGCAGATTCAGTCTGAGGACTGCTGACGCCGCAGACAGACTCTTAGCGCTGCCCTCTGCATGAGCAGCTGAAATATAAAAGCACAGGAAGTGTCTGGAAGTGATGTCATGGGTGGGGCCCATGCAATTAAAGCAACAAGAAGCGCCATAGCGAACAAAGACCAATGATCTGTAGATGTGTTTTCAGAAATCACCTGGTGCATTTCATTGTTCCTTCCAGTTCCTGATTTGTTTGGTGCTCCCCTTTGTGTGGTTGAAATCTGGATCTGTTCTAAAACCTAGTGAGCCTACCTAGATGATATTATGCTGCCTTCTAAGATACAAATTGTGAGTTTAAATATTTTTTTATTTGGTATTTCACAAAATAAAATCCATTTGAATTAAAAAATTTTAATTATTAATGCAAAAACAAAACTTGCAATTACTTACAATACAATAAAACAACATCCTAATAGTAATAGCCAACCAAAATTAAAATGGAAAAAAAAAATAATGTATACAACACCATACAGTTTTGTTCAAATTCTGAGTTTAAATGTTTTTATTTGGAATTCCACAGTCAAATCTTTTGTAATTACACTGTAACTACACAAATTTGTTATGCAAAAACAAAACTTATTGCATACAGTAAAGAATGAAAATAAATAATATAGTAATACCAAATCTATATTAAAACTTGGAAGTGTAAAAAAAAAACTGAGTAAATACATTTGTTTTGTTTAAATTCTGTTTAAACATTTTTATTTGGATTTTTATAAAGTAAAATCCTTTGTACTTGTGCTTTTTAAATTATTTATGCAAAAACAAAACTTATTACATACAATAAAGAATGAAAATAAGCCATAGACTAATAGTAATACCAAACCTAAATTAAAATTAGAAATTAATAAAAAAATACAGCGTAAATAAGGTAGCTTCGACATATACATCCCTGAATTCTTTGTAAAAAAATAAATAAATAAAAACTGATTCAAGATGATAGACAAGTTGAGCATGTTGACTATAAATATATTTCATTCAGTACTGGAAAATATCAATAAAAGTTGTTAAATATCATTTAAAAATTACGCAATATTTGTGTCTATTGACACGTATTTTTATTTGTGGTTGGCATCAAACTCTGCTGATATCAATTGTGACTCGAGACTCACATGAAGAAAAAAATACAGCTAAACCAGCCTTAGTGGGTTTGCCGGTCTTAGCTGGTTTAAACTGGTTTAACTGTTCTCCTAGCAAGCATACACTCTTAAAAATAAAGGTGCTTCACGATGCCATAGAAGAACCTTTTTGTCTAAATGGTTCCATAAAGAACCTTTAACATCTGAAGAAGCTTTCTGTTTCACAAAAGGTTCTTTGTGGCAAAATAAGGTTCTTCAGATTATAAAAAGGTAAGAAAGAGATGGTTCTTTAAAAAACCTATGACTGAATGGTTCTTTGTGGAACCAAAAATGGTTCTTCTATGGCATCGCTTGAAGAACCTTTTGAAGCACCTTTATTTTTAAGAGTGTATGTTTAGCTGCTGTTTCCCAAATGTCCAAACCTCCTTTAAAACAATCAAAAAAGTCCAGCTTGGCCACCTTCGGCTGGTTTCAGCAGGGGTGCGCTTTGCATCAAGCTGGGCAGTTGAGTTGCTTTCTTTGTAGATTGTTCCGAATCACTCACTTATGAGGGTCCATTTTAGTTTGGATGCCACCTTAGAAGGCAGCTCATTAGGTTTTGGAACAGACCCGGCCTGTGTGCACAGGTGGACATGAATATGAAACCGTTTTCTATAAACAGTCAAAAAGCACACGAGTCTTCTGTATATTCCCAAATTGTATTAACCTATTTTTATTTTTTTTAATGCATTGACTTTTTTGCACTAAAACGATAGACAGATATGTTCAGATTTACAGTGGCCCTGTCTAAAATAATCCTGTCATGTCACATTTAAGGCCCTGGATTGGTAGCAGCGTTGTCTTTTGTGTGAAGCATTAGTGGGATCCTGAATAGCACTATTTTTCAAGCCGATCATTTTAGACAAGCGTTTTAATGGAACGTGGGCAACTCTCTTCTGTAACTTGCGTCTCCCCTTTTTTGTCTTGTGAAAAAAAATCACGATTATATATCAGAAAGCCATAAGCAGAAGATCGTCATTAACGTTTGTGTGTTCACAGGCACTTACAATGCAAGAATGACACATGCCTGTAGCATGCAGTCCAAAAAAAGACTCCTTCGGTTCTGAACCGAACCCAAACCAGAGAAAGCAGTGGAATGAGAGAGCGAAGCAATAACGGCAAGTCAGAAAGAGGGAAATGCCAAGTCCTGAAACAGAATACTGAATAAAAGATGCAGGCGAAAGAAAATGTAAAGAAAGTGAAAATCAATAAAATATCAATCAAAATGAGAACAAGGGAGAAAGAAAGAGAGAGAGGCATGATACTGTGGACCAACTTCGGATTGGAAAGGCGTTTTGGCCTGAAGGGAACAGGATTGAGACGCTTGGCGTGAGCTGATTTCAGAGCTTGCACTGTCATTTTCAATGCCATTGGGCGGATTGTTTTTTGTAAAAGCTGTAATTTTGACGTTAAGTGTTGTACAGTGTATATAAGGAAGTTGTTCAAATGCAGATTTTGTAGATATTGAACTGCAATCATGGAAGGGTTTGTGCATCCTACGAGTATTTGGCGTGGGCGAAAAGGACAAACACAAACTTGCGTACTTTTGCTGACATTATTAACAGACGTGCGCATCTTTTTTGCGGCTGTTTTTCACCGCCCATCTTTTTTAATTGTGTTTTTATTTCTATTTCACTGTGCTTATATTATAGAAAAGGGAATTACTCTGCTCCTGATGGATTTTTATTAATGATTTAATTTCGCCTTTGATTCATATTGTTCTTTTGACTGTGTAAAACAGTATTAAAACATGCTTGTTATACATGTAAACATGCTTTCTTCACTCCTGCTTTTTTTTTAGTTTGTTTTGTTGTTGTTTTTTTATTTTATCAATGCTAAAATAAAATAAAAAAATATTGATCAAAGTCATTATCACGTCGAAGTTCGTAAGTAATTTTTTTGAAAGGCAACATGAAATCAAAATGAACTCATCTTCGTTATCATTAGTTAAATGTTCATTGTTAGTTCATGTCAGCTCAGGTCCATTAAATTATATTAACAGGTACCAGTTTTGATTTTAATAATGCATTAGTTGAGATTAATAAATGTTTTAGAATTATTTTTCATAGTTAGTTGATGTTAACAAGTGGAGCCTTACTGTGAAGTGTTACCAAAAAATATTCTTAAAAATGAACTTAACAGTAACACTTTGCAATAAGGTCCCATTAGTTAACGTTAGTTAACTAACAATTATCATTACATTTATTAATCGTTGTTAACATTAGTTAATGAAACACAAATATTAAATGTTTAGTTTGTGTTAGTTCAGGTCCATTGAAATAATATTAACAGATGCAACTTTCGATTGTAATGTATTAGTAAATATTGAAATTAACAATAAATTTAGATTGCAATCTAAAATTTAAATAAAGATTTCATATTAATTAATGCTTTAGAAGTAGGTTTCATTGTTCATGTTAACTAACGTAATTAATGTTAACAAATGGAAACTTGTAGTGTGTTACCATATTAGCTAATAATATAGTAGTCTAGTGTTTCCACTTTTTATGATCTTGTCAAATTCTATTTGATCAAATTAAATCTCGCCTTACATTATTTCCAGTTGAATATGGAAATGCTTCCTGTTATGGAAGGTAAATGTTGTTTCATGTTGTCTTAACACCTAAAAGCATTGCAAATGTCATATGTTGTGTAATAATTTTTATGTTTTGACTAGAACACGCACTAAACAAATCTTGTTTTGAAGATGAACACTTACCTGGCGAGCGCAATAACTCCCCTTCAGGGGCCTCATTTATAAAATGTGCGTACGCACAGATTTGATCTTAGAGTGTGCGTACGCTAAAATCCACGACAACATTCATATTTATAAAAACGGTCTTTGGCATGGAAAAGTACTTACCGCCACGTCAGGGTCTGAGCAGGCGTACGAACTTTTCCTTGTGGCAAAGTCAGAGTACTGCAGCTATTTGAAAATCTAAGCTGCAATAATAATAAAAGCGGTGTACGTGCAAGCACTGAATTCATCATAAACAACAGAGATGCAGTGTGAGAGACTAATTGTGCAGTGTAGTCAGAGTTTTTATCAAGGGGAGTTTCTGCGAGATTAAACTGACCTTTTTAGTAGCCTAATGTCGAGAGTTCTTTACTCGCTTTCTGTACACAGTTTATTCCATGTTTTTTTTTTATTACCGGTATTATTATTTTATTTTACAAGATAACTTGCGAAGTCTTGATTTACTACTAATGTGTAAAATTGAAAAAAAAATGCATAAACGCATCTCCGACTGTTTTGTCTGTGTAGCCTAGGCTATAAGAATAGGCCTATGTCGTGCAATAACGGTTTTAATATATTCTATTCAATAACATTGTTAACTGTTTTTATTTATAACATCTGCTGCTTTGCTTCTGTGAAAATGAATAGAGACATCAGCCTTAAACTTTGTTTTTGTCATTTACATCAGTTATATTTATATAAAATAGGCTACACTACATATTTTTGTGTCAGTACATTAATGGCACATTTGAGCAGCATTAGTAAACTGTGTAAATATAAACAAATGCCAAATCACATGCAGGTTTTTTCAGACCGGAGACCGTAATCGTGTAATAATTTATTTTATTATGATATAAAACATCAAATTTTTTTTAAGTTTTGCAAGAATTTCCTGATACTAAACTGTTTATTAGTTGTCATACCAAGTGATTTTAAAAGTAGGAGGGCTCACTTTTTATAAGATGACTGAAATTTTTACTTGAATTCATAGTTTATTCTTTCCTTTGGAAACCTAATTGTTTTATAATTACTACTGCTACTGTTATTATTATTATTTCTGTTGTTTCTAGAAGTAGTAATTTTGATAATAGTCAATAGAAAAAAATATAACCACACACACATTGTTTGCCCACAGAATAATTACACATTATTAAATAAAAAGTGTCCTAGCACGAACCTCTATCTCTGCCAGCAGGACCTCAATTTCAGACTCAGTAAAGTTTTTTTTCTTTGTGCTTGTCATTCTCAAGCACAGAAATTCGGATATTGGCGTGTGATCTTTTATATGTTAATGATATTAATTAGGGGGCGTTTACAAGGCGGAGATCTGACACCAGTCAGCTGCGCACAATTTCAAGATCATTTGCGATTTATAAATGTCACATCTGGAAGTACGTGAAATCTGGAAAAGTGTTTTTGTTTTCTCTGAATCGCACTTACGCACTTTTGAGAAATGATCTTAGAACAAATTTAGGACGGTTTA